AAGTAAAAATATCAGAAAAATCTACTTGAGTACAGTAACGAAGTATTTGTACTTCGTTACTTCCCATCTCTGGTAATGTGACCCCGGGTGAGATCTGTTTGCATCTGGGAACTCCTGATCATTAGTTTGCTGTAGATATTTTTCTGTCTCTGTCATAAAAGTTTTATTTCCGCAGGTGATGCAGCAATAGTTAAACCCTCTGAGATCAGCTCCAACTCCTCAAAGGTCATGGCTGAACTTCTTCCCCTCTACTTAGACCAGGTTTGCTTTCTGCTTTGTACCTCTGCAGAGTGTTTGGTTTGTCTCATAAATTCCTACAGACGTGTTGGGTTTGTGTATAACTAAGACACGCTGTGTTTAGGATTTATACCCAGTGGTGGAAGGTGGTGTCCCAGAAACCCAGGAGCTGCTGAAGCAGAGATTTGATCACATCTTCTACACAGGCAGTACCTCAGTAGGCCAACTGGTGATGGAGGCCGCAGCTCGCCACCTCACTCCTGTGACGCTGGAGCTGGGAGGGAAGAGTCCCTGTTTCATAGACAAGAACTGTGATATTAAAACTGCATGTCGGTCAGTGTCTTTTTGTCAAATATAGAACACAACACATGCATCACTGAAAGACATTTCTGCTGTTTAGCAGTTCCCTCAGGTCACTAATGATTCCTAACAAACCCTGAAAAAACTAACAAGGAAAAAAGAGAGGGAATTGCTGAATGGAGAATGGAGGCATGCAGGAAAACGAGCTCCAGAAGAACGATGTCAGGGATGAAGAAGATCACAGGATGATCAGACTACAGCTGCAGATTTTAGGACCCCTGCAGTTTGCTTATCGCCATGGAGATGGAGTGGATGATGTCATCATCCACCTGCTTCAACAAACCCTCCATCATTTAGACAAGGCAGACAGCACTGTGAGCATTGGTGCCACCAGTGGAGGCCATGGCCACCAGGGGCGGATCTAGGATTCTAGGAGATCAGGGGCTCAGCCCTGAGGGTGAAGATGAGAGTGTAGACTTTCTGGTAAATCCTGTTCTAATGTAAAATATGACAGATTACGGGATTAAGGACATTTCTAGTTTTCTACATGCTAACATATGCTTACAGGTAACAATTTTTGAGAATTTTGAAATAGTTGCTCTTTATTTCACAAAGATATGGGAGGAGGAGAAAATGGAATATTTTAGCTGCCTGAAATAATCTGTTCCCCCTTCATAACATGGGAAGATCATTATTTGCCAAAGTTATGAGATGGAAATCAAATATTTTAGCCCCCTGATATAATCCTCTGATTTCCACCACTGCCCTATCTGTTTTAAATTTGCAGCATGGAGGCGCTCAACTCTTAAAAGCTTTCAGTGATGAGAGGGAAACACTTCTTCTTCGGCATAGAAATGCTACAGACTGGTTTCCTGTGCATGATGCCACTCTCTGGTGAATTCTAGTACTGCACATTTTACTCAGATCAGCTCT